CACAAAATTAACCAACAAAATTAACCTAAAATAAATACCTAACCTAAAGCATTTACCAATTACCAATTACCACAAAATTAACCTAAATAACTACTAATTGAAGTTGGAATTGGAAATTAGAAATTTAGAATTTTACCCAAGAGGCACAGGCGCACAGCAGCACAGTCGGTCTCGGTCAGTCGGCTAGGCCGCTAGGGTTTCGTCGATCCGGCTCCGGCAGTCGCACAGCAGAGTCGCAGACAGCACAGCAGCACCAGCACAGTCGGTCAGTCTCCGTGAGGACCGTGACTCCGTCGCAACGATGAAGAAGAAGAAGAGAAGAAGTGATGTGAATCTTTGTGAGGTCGCTGGTCGCAGTTGATGAAGAAGAGTAGAAGAGTAGAAGACTGAACTGAAGTCTGAAGAGGGGCCTCTTGTCTCATTTTGTTGGGGGCCCAACTACATTTAATTAAAACCTACCCTCTTAAGGTCCATCCGCCCCTGCATGCAACGATACAGAAACTGAAATCATACAAGCCTACAAAAATGAGTGGAGATTTCTACTATATGCATTTTATTTCAAACCCTAACAAACATAAAAACAAAACCTAAATCGACTAATCCATGAAGAAACTGCTAATCACAATAGAACTTGAACATAGAATTCGCGAAGAAATCAAAGAAGGGAACATACCAATATCAAAATGGAAGAAATCAAATAAAGAGATAATCTTTGAAAGTCAACAAAATCGCCATTCAATATCAGAACCTTGTAGCATAATTGGAAAGAAAGCAGGAGCCATGATGGCTGCGCACTGTGATCTGTGAAGTGTGAACTGAACTGTGAAGGCGGAGACGTTAGACTAAAAAGCGACATTGTTTCCGTTCCGGCTGCCTTGAGTTTGGATTGATTGGGCCGGGCAGCCCAAATAAGGAGGTCATATTTACAGTTTGACCCTTTATTTTTTAAATAATTACATAAAATGACTTTGATTAAAGTAGCGTGTCTTATTTCAACTCGAAATATGTTGGGACGCTTTGGATTTTGGAACTTACAATTTTAATCCTTATATATATATACATTTTAGTACAAATAATTTTTAAGAGTTACCATATATATACTATATTATAAAGCATTTGATAAAAACTCTTAAAAATCATTTTTTATACGTAAAGTATTGTTTATTAATGTATATTACTAAAAACTCAAGATTGCAAGTAGATTGTGCGTAAGTACAACTTATTAAAGCTCTATATCTGAATTTGTGTAACTAACTGCAGATAAACATAATCAAATACAGGATAAACATCTCATTTTAAATATAAAAAATCTAAAATATAATTAGAATAACTATTGAGTTCTAA